AAAAGGCTATTGAAAGGGCAAAAAGGGGGGAGAGGTTCATTACTAGCGTATAGAAGGGGGTAAGTGATTAGTGGCCAGCTTGTGTTACAATGGACGAAGTAGCAGAGACTTAGGTCTCTGTGTTATCAAGCCGGCAATTTAAACAAATTCTTTAAGCCACCCACCATCCTGATTAACTACGCCTGACGTGTGTGTGTGTGTCAACTATCACACTTACCACCACATTGTCACCCTTTTTATTTGATAATAAACCAAGTCCCCGTTTGATATGGACGCCGCCTTATACGCACCGTCAGCGTTGACCTTAGCCCGCATTGATGACCCGAGCTCTTGGACCAAGTGTATCCACAAATGCTTTAGCGTACTGACTTGTTTTAAGAATTTTTCCCTTTTTTTAAATACTACCTCTGAGAGTGTTGAAGAGTGGGGACTAAGGTGTAGTAATTAGCCGTTTCTGTCTGGCAAGCCGGCAACTCTCGGAGTTTGGGAATAAGAATTATTACCCGGAAGCTAAAAATGCCCGCGTAAAGTGTTATGCCCCGTGGGCTGTGGACGGAGGATGTGAATGTTGCGAGCGCAGCACCATCTCTGCTGGCATAGGCGAAAGAAGGAGGAAAGAAGACCTTAGTATTTTCTCCTCTATTGCAAGACGTTATAAAGTGTCTGCTTCCACTGGTTACTTCCTCAGGGGTCTCAATCCCTACTTGAGAATACCTATTTGATAGAAGAGCGCTCGATGCAGGTGATGGATTACTCAGGCACAGATCCATAAGTTTCAGAATTACTCTCGTTTCCTACAGACAATGGACAATTCGGAGGCATTGCTCATCAGGCAATTTGGCGAATCCAACATGTCGGCAACGTGAAGTGGATGGTGCAACAGTTGGCTGGCCTCTGCATCAACCGAAAAGGTGATATCGAGAGTTGCTAACCAAGTGGGCTTCACACAGCCGGGGTTGCCTGATTTTCAAACATAACGGGACATCTTGAATCTCATGTCCCCCCATCGGGTCTCCTGATTGGACAATAAGTGCTGATAAGGTCAAGGCCAGGTGAAGTACTACAAATCCGCGAGAGTGGGGCTACCATGTATTACGCGTCCTATTCTCAGCTGGCATTCATATCAAAGTCCTTGCGATCCCCCTAACTAAGCAAGGCAGGTACTCAGCAAGGTCCATGGTCACTCAAATAGGAGTAAAATTCGATGCCTATCATTTTATTGCCTCTCACCTATTTCCCCTCATAAAAACGCATCGTTGTGAGGGAAAGAGTTTACGGATTGACCACCTGACTGACTTGTGATGAGAAAAGACATTTGTGCTTTTAATGCCAAAGTTGGCTAAGTCTGCACCTTCTAAATGCCCTTTCCTGAAAGTAGTTGAAATAATGCTTGATTAGGCTCCAGTAAAATTTAGATACGATTCTTAGTTATTAATCTGCTTTATTAGGAGAATGCTAATTTATCAATAATTTTGTTAGAAATCGCCCTTTTTTCCACCCACCTATCAGACCCTTGGTGATTGAAGAACCCGCGTAGTTGGGTAGACGATCAAAACACTCCACGCAGTTGCATGTCCGCCTCACTCCAAATTCTATCATTCATTAAGCATCGGCCGGGTGGGTTATTAGAAAAGCAGTCGGTGCTTTAACAACCACGCATAAATCAGACACGAGGGTTGCAGAGTACCCTCTCATCAAGGTGAGAAAACATTTGATCCTAGGAGTGAGGAGACAACTCTTTGATTTTCGGTGATTCACAGCCTTTATACTCTCCTAAGGTGGTGTCAGTGCTCTGCAAGTGAGGCACTGCAAAGGAAATGCGTTATTCTCTGCATGTCCATCCATCCCTTCCCCATTGGTCACTTTTTCCCCAATTCAGTATTGCCGAGTTCCATTTTAGCTACCAGGACAAGGAATTAGTCTTTTTGATGAACGCTTAAGGTGGTTTGAGTCAATTACTTTCCTGAGGACTGCGAGATTGGGGAGAGTGAGGGGGTAGGATGATTGCCAAAGTGAATAGACTTGACTTTGACAACCTCTCTGCCACCTACACAGCTAACACTCTCTTCCGGTTTATTTTTTTAAGTCCTACATGAATATCCCGACCTTTGTCCACTTAGGCCGCCCCCTTTTTCCCCTGCTCTGAAGAAGAAGTAATAAGCCATGGGGGGCGACTAAGATAATTCGGACCCATTGGACGCGCGCTGTTGAACGAACGATTAAAACCAATGATGTCGAATGCAGTGGTTTTGTGAGTTCTGATATCCTTACTTTTTTTCTACCCGAAATGAACTCTCTGTGTTCCATTAACCTTTCTAACTAGAAAGAAGAAAAATCACTTAAAAGGTCAAACAACAGTAGTGCAAGTAATTTTAAACATCCTCCAACATTGAGAGGTGGTTTGGAAATACCTAAGGAAAAAGGCAGAGAGGCGCTCTGACCTCTTGGGTGGCTAATAACGCCTCGGATAAGGCATGCCTACCAGGAAATGCAGGCACACTAATGGAAAAATAACATTCATCAATCCAACTGCTGAAGGTCACCGCCTTTCCCTCCTAAGTCGGATTCGCCTGCCCTGCCACTGCTACTACTAGTGGGTGATAATATGAGAATTACTTACAAAAGACGTGGTTTCTTGTTCGGTTAAATGCCGCCGAGTCGAGCAGGTGGGGCGGAAGGGGGGAGGAAACCTGACCGGTCGCCTTAAAATAGCCTCTTTGAAAAGGCACCGCCTCGGACACATTTGACAATCGTTGTCGTCGGCACCTTTAACACATTAATGTGGTCATTTAAGGATGCCAGAGGGGTGCGTGACTAGAAACTGAAAATGAAAAGGCTTTACTAAGGAAGCCAAATGGAGTAATCTAGTCTACTACTCTAAATTTTTCCTGCCTTAACTTATTCTTCACGACAAGGGAAAAGGTCTTGGACCTCTGGGCTATTGAGACAGTGATTCGGGAGCCGCAGTGGTGGACACACGTAAGATTTCTTCACCACTTTTTACTCCATTCGGAAAATTGCTTGCTGGTTTTCCGGTAGGAGGCTAATACGAATGGATGGATGTATTTTCTATTTCATCTTCCTTGACCGAGGAATTTCCTATAAGCAAATACTTTCGCAGTCTTTACACATTCACAAAGCATGTAGTCTCCTGCGGTATCGGTGGTTCCGCTGCTGGGTCTTTTGAAGATAGCCAAGAACAAAATTCTTCAACTCATCACTAGTCTGTCTGTCTGTCCGCCCGTCGATCAGTCAGTAGACCATCCTCTCCTGATGGCTCGTCGTATGCCGCACTTGACAAGTCCCCACATGTTAAAAGAAGTCATTGTTGCGAGCAATATTAAAAACCAACCGAGTTTTTGCGGTCACTTGGTGAGTGGGTGGGTGGATGGTCTATGCTACCCTTCTTCTGCCACTTCACTTCTGTCTTATTAATCATTTGGCTGTCTTTTAGCGGATTTTACTTGGCAAGAGCCTAAATGTAGGCTCTTCTAAAAAATCCACGCCTTTCCTGGTACCGATGTTAAAATTATTCAAAGACATTTGCACCGGTTATGGGAAAACATCTCCCCTCTGGTGAAAGTGAAGCGCCCACATGTCACTGTTATCATGCGTCAAGAGCTCACATTTTTGAGAAGGTGACGTTGGAGCCCTCTGAAGCAGATGTGTTTAGATACACTACAAAATGTACAGAATTATGTTGCCTTTGGCCTCTTTTCCTTCCTTTTCCATTGTTCTTTAAGCAAAAGACCGTACAATTGGTTAGCCTCAAGCCATCCGCCATGCCACTACCCATCTCACATTTCCAGGACGGGCATCATTTCACACCCAGGAGACCATAGTTACTTTGTTGGTGTGTGGATATGTTTCTGGGGTCCTCCTACGGACGATCAAGCAGCACTTGCCCCTGAAATCCACCTCCTTGACACCTGGCGCACCCTTGCAGGATTCATCCCCCTTTCTTATTCCATCTCCAAACAAAAAATTAACTGTACACATCACTTATAATAGTACCTTCAGGTATTCTGTTTTAGACAAAACAAGTGCACCATAGCTAACGCCTTGGAAGTTGATGGTGGATCCGACGGCTCTTCTACCATCCGATCAAGTGGTCCCCTCATCGTCCACAAGTTGTAAAACCCCTCCTATTGCAAATAAATGTTTTTTGTTCTTTTTCAGGCTTCATGCGATCCAACCTCACCCCAACTCACTTACTGAAGTGCTTCAGCACGAAGTAAAAACACTTCAATTTTTCATCGTACCACATACCCCCAACTCCCACTGATCAGCCAATCAGTGTTTAGAGCCTGTCACTTTGCCTTAGATTCGCAACCTCCTTGAGTTCCTCTGTTCCTAGACTTAGCTATCAGTAACCAAACGCTTTTCCCATCCACCACCACGAGGTGGAATTAAAGTTGAGTCGGAATTATTTAATGCTTGTTTAAATGTGCACATTTAATTACCCGGGCTCTTCAATTACCACAATAGGAGGTGTCGCCATGTTGAGTGCTGGAGCAGGCGTGGCTCCGGGTGATGACAATGACGACGGTGGTGCGTGAACCCGACCCAAATTAGAAAGAATCCTTATCCTCAAAGTGAACATCTGGATCCAGATCAGTGTTCGGTAAATTAAAACTTTACGTAATCTTATCTCTCCCAAAATATGTTGCTTTTAGATACTTAAAATTGTGAAGAGCGAGGCTTGATGTTGAATGTCCTCCAGCTAATCGCCACCCAAGCATGGTTCGACTCACAGAGCACACACTATCCGCTAAAATAAAGCGAGTTGCCAACTTTATGACTTGGAGGCTCCATGACCGAGGTCCTGAATCTTACCGAAGCTTCCAACCAGGTAGGTGGTGGATAAGAACTTCAGAGCG